GACCCTTTATGGGTGTGGGTCTGGCTGAGTGCGTGCTCTATGGTATGAAGAAACAATTGATAAGTATAACTCCACTCACACCCACGTCCTTTCCGAAAACTAGTGAAAATTGTCTGGAAGTTTCCTCATCACAATACATCTATAAAAAAAAATGATCTGCTGCTCAAAGATAGCTTTTATGTACGAATCGATTAGTGATGTCAAACCGAAAATCCGAATTAAAAGACTTTTTTTATATACAAGTCTTTATTTGTTTGTGAAAACAGCATACCCATTCTTTTTGGTTAGAAAAGGAGTCGTTGTCAAGTGCTGAACTACATAGTTTTTAAGTATCAAGGATAGTTTTATTTCTGTGAACGTTAATCTTCGTACTTTTTAACTTCTTGTTCTTAGAACGTAACACACAAATTATCCATTGTGACATGTTTTGCATCACATGAACCACAACTCGAGTTAAAATTTATGCTATCGATGCCAGACCAGTTGAGTTCAACAAAGAATCTCTCTTGTGTAAATAGTACTACTGTTTTCGTATATAAAATAGTGCCTGATCTTGTACCGATCATTGTCAATGTAGTATTATCATACCAAGCTGCGCATGAATAAAATGAATTTATCGTAAATGTACTTGTAGCCGAATTTGTGATAACCATTGGATCACCATATCCATTAAAGACAAGATATGAAGGACTAACGACACCCGTCGTATAGCTAGTATTAGGAGTACTATAGTTTATACCATTCAAAACTAGAACATTTTACCAATTTAAACGACCATAATTGTTCGGTACTGGGATTCCTGATATTCCCGTTGAATTTATGATATCATCAAAAGTTATTAATGAGCTTCTTGTTGGGCAGGCTAGAAAGGAAGAGTATAAAAATAAATTATTTCTATCTCTTAATTTTCTAAGTCTAGTATAGTATATGATAGCGTCAGAAGAACTCATTGACTTTTGTGCGAGTTTTGCAGCAGCAATAATGCGATGTTTATTCTTCATGACAGGAAGCAATTGTGTAAAACAATTGCAATTGAAGAGATTGATACATTTTACAAAATACAAAGAAACATTACAGATTGAAAAACATAATAACATGTATACGATAGCTCATGAATAACTTAACGATACAGAATGCGAATATTTCCACCCTGTTTCAATTGAATCGACTGAATTTTTGTGGTTGATAGAGAATGGTTTCCAATTTTTATCCATAAGAAAAACATTAATAAGTACTGCTCAGTAATATCACCTTCGATTTGATCACAAAATTTAAGCTTCTAACAAAAATTAATGATGGCCTTCTAGATATTTTGAAAATTTTCTGCAAAAGAACTTCTAGAAAATCTGATAAAATTTCGGAAAGACTAGAGAAGCTGGAAAAAGTTCAGAAATAATATTTGCATACAACTTTGAAAACCAGTGCACTCAAAAAAAAAACACTATGGAATGAACTAATGGTGGATTTGTCGGATAAGCATGCACAGAGTCGTACACGGGGCTGTTGAAGTCATGCAGCATTGGAACCATGAAATGGTCTTGATGAAAACAAAATCCGAGTAAATACTACCAAAAAATATACTTACTCGTTCGTTGGCTCAGGGTTGGCTTCACTGTAGGAAAACAAGAATTGATGAAATCAAACAAATAAGAATACGTAATCCATTCTTTCCTTCATACCCAAGGGCAATGTGACGCTAACAGTCGAGAAGAATAGAGTAGCAGCCACAGGGATCGCAAACATCATTTATTTTTTGAATAACGAATAAATGGAGTCAAGCATCTAGAGACACCTTAAATAACCATATTGCCGTCGCCACTGTGAGCCAATACCAGATGCTGTCAGATCACATTGTCAATATTCGACAAGAAAAAAAAGCGATTTGATTTATGATGCACATTAATAGGATTCGTTTGCGTTATCTTTTCTCAAACACTAGTATACTTTTGTCTACATATGTCAACAAATTTTTATAAAAAGTATACATTTTCTTGCTCGGTCTTCCTCTCGATATTGTCTGTATACATGATCTTTCTCGATGCTGACGACACATAGTGTTGGTTACATTTCCCACCAGGGTGTGGGTAGGCCTGGGTGAGGTTGCCATTGAAAAGACGATAGATATTCGCACTCCACACCCATACCCTACAAGAAAGTATTTTAGATAGTATAAAAATTAATATTATATACTCCATGACTTCAAAAATATTATTAGGTATTCTTAAAAGATTAGAAGCACTAACTCTGATTTTAAAAAGCACTATTAAGTACTTCCGGAAGAATAAAAAGCGTTTTTAATTACTTTTTCGGAACTCAAAAACACTATTAAGTACTTCATACATTGTAAAATTTAATTTAGCACATTTTATGAATGCAAAGGTATTTTTAAAAGTGAGAAAAATGTTAAAAGTTAATAGAAAAAGTGAAAAATAGTGAGAAAATTTTATTGGTTTTCCTTTTTTATCATGCAAGTACTTAAAAGTAGATTTTTTATCACTTTCTTCTTGACATCGACAGTTGATCAAGACTTTCTTTAAATCGAATCCAATTAATGACAGGAAAGTTCAAATTGTCAATCTCACAAATCATCGTTCTATTTGACTGAGTGGTCCCAGATATCTTTTCTTAATTTCTCATGTGAAACAGTCTATGTAGCCAAAATATGGATAGAATGTTTGTTGTGGCACTATGTCGCCTTCTATTTAATCAATAAAAGGGTTTTTAGTCATTCATCATGTTTTGAGAAAATGTCTATAGCGTTCAGCGAAATAAATATGCGTTTTCATTGAACAAAGATGCAGTTACAGACAAAGAACGACAATTGAAAAGTTCAAGAGAGATTTGAACAGCGGTCTTAATTCCACAAGCAATTGTGCTCTGTTAAGTGTAGCTAATGATCTTGTCTCTATCTATTTGTCTCTGTTGGCAATTATGAGCATTGAATTATGGTATGCTTCGTAAATATAATGATACTTGATTTTTGCTAAGAAAGTACTTCTTGATGAATTGAAAACAGTAGTTAATTTTGAAAATATATCATTAACTATACATTACATGACTTCAACTAGTGTCAACTTTATTTTGAATTCAACATAGTTTCTATCAAATGCTCTAGAAAAAACACATGTATCCAAGTGTCGGAAGTGTTTCAATCGACAAACACATACAAAAATAACAATAGAGTCATTTATTTCTTTCACTTCAAAGGTGTACCAAAAATCATATAATTTCATGAGTCTACTATTCCTTCCAAGGGACTGTGTAGCAGTTTTGTGTACATACTATATTTTCTGTGTTATTGCTTTTTTGGTGCTATGATGAGTTAGTGAACCTGTGGAGAAAAAAGATGACTTATCAGTAAGACATACATGAATGTCTGAGTTGTATATAGTAAGATACATTACATCAAATATCTCCTTTATTTTCTCTATTTGCTTAGAGAAGTACACCCTGATCAGTGCATTACTATAATCGTTGATCATTGGTCGAGTGTGAGCCTCGACTACTTTTACATAACAATAAATGTGGATTAAAATGAGATATTTTTCAGTTTTAATTGTGTTAACGTGGATCGATTCCGCTTATGCATGACTTAAGAATAGTGTTGTTAGTATTACAGCTATTTAGATTCGAAAGTCAAATTCAAGTTGATCTTCTTTTCATAGACCTGAATGTATAATAAGTAGTTCAGCTGAAGGTGTTCTATTCACTCTGTATAGTACTAAGCTCAGTTTTAGACGCAATCACTGATTAGAAATATCAGTAGATTTTTTTGCATGGAATGTCTTAAGGATTCATTTGTTTTTGTTATCTATATAAGAAATCTTTCATGACATCAACTACAACATTCTCAACTATGTATGTGAATAGTGTTCAGGTTATTTCGGAAGTCATTATCATTATGACGATAGTACTCGAACGGTAAAAAGTGCTTTTATGTGACAATTTATTAAAATTCTTATTACAACCTTAGCACTAGAAACAATATTTATCGTCTCATATAGATACATACTATATACCTTGTTCAATGTTCCTCTAGTAATAATTATCTAAAAGATTTATAAACTTGTTCGTTACTTTCGTTATCACGGCATTATACTATTCAATTGTTGTTGTTGTTGTTTTTTTTTATCAAAAAAATCAAGTTAGATGTTATTTTTCTAGTTATTACAAGTATTATAGTCAATGGTGGTGGCGATATTCTAGGTGTAAAAAGTTATATTGCTATCGATTTGGTTCTTATTATGCTCAACGGATTATTGAATGGTCTCTTCTTTGGTGAATCAATTTATCTCTTACAAGTTTTCCGATTATTGATTACTCTGATTTAGTACTTCCAAATGTATTTAATCATATTCACTCGTTGCTTCATTAAAGTCAGTATCATACAGAGGTATAAAACAAAGACCAATCAAGCCAAGCCTTGACAATGAATATATGTTTTGTACTAATAAATATTCAGTCTTAAAACAGATTTTTAACTTGACATTTAAGGACATACAAGAAAAATAGCACATTGTCAGAAGAATTTGGACAACATATAATGTGCATATGAATGCAATAATGCTGAGAAAAAGGCTACGATTATGACTGTATTTTATCTGAAAGTTGAACATAAGCAGCGTGGCGCAGTGGAAGCGTGCTGGGCTCATAACTCAGAGGGCGGTAGATCGAAACTACTCGCTGCTAT